CTATTTTGCTATGTGAATTTTCAATGATGTAGTCAACTTTAGGTTGCACGCATCATATTCTACAAAGCAGTCGGTATATCACTTGGATCATGTTATTTAGGGATTCACACCGTATATGCTATCAAGTCACTTAGTTGACTATAATTATCAAGAATCACTCAGTTGGTTGGATTATTTACTCTTTGACTATATGTTCAGTTTGCTCAACTAACCACATAGTCGGGGGCTACACCTATTAGGTGCATCTAGTCGATGCACCTAAAATTTCATTTAATTATTTTTCAGCCCTCCACAGTCTTCTGATTTGGTAAAAGTACTCGGGAGACCATGGCGAAGATGATTGAAGCACTTATCTTTGGAGTAATCTAGTTCGAGAAAAGATTATCTTTTCGACTGTGAAGGTCTCAGGGGCTACTGTGAAGATTGTGGGTACCCCATACCCATACGGCATAGTTATCCGACTGGTTATAGGGGATAACTTATATCTATGAAATATGTAACGGATCATGACTTGGGTATTATGTTTCCCTCTATATTATGGAACGGCCTAAAGTCCTGGTTTGATAAGATTGTAAAGTAGATTTAGGAAACCGATACCGTATTGGTTAAGGTTTCTATCTTGTAATCATGGCCCCCATCCTATATAAGGTGGGCAGGAGGCCCTCTAGGGGGCATGAGACAACTAGATCGTCAGATCTATAATATACATGGCGGATTCAAATCCCCAAACAGAAGTAGGGTATTACCTCTCAACGAGGGGGCCTGAACCTGTCTAAATCCTTGTCTCTGCATCCATCCACTTTTAGGTCTCGTGCGCTACCCCCTTTTATTATTGCCGAATTCATGTTTCGACAAGCGCTGTTGACAACATTTAACACGCATGATCAGGCAGGACTACAGCTTCTCCATTGCTTGTCCCTAATCACTTCACAGTGGCACGAGAAGGAAAGGTGAAACCAACATCTGTGGCTTGGTAAGGGATGAAAACGGTCAGAAACGGTCGGAAAAACCCTATACCATTTCCATTTTCATTTTATTTTCTCGAAAATGGAATCGGAACGGTCTACTCGGAAACAGTAACGATATCAGTAATGTCGGTATATCTGAAACGGAATCGTCGGAACGGGAATCTACCGATATCGGTCGGAAGTCAAAAATTCATGTCGGAAACAACGAACTGTGGTATCATCCCACATTTAACTATGTATGAAGATGACCTTATAATTTCACCCTTGCATCATCACGCTGCCACACAACACCGTTATACGATGATTAATAAGTTGACAATAAGGTCGACAAACAATATAAAAAGTTCAACGATATTTCAACATCAATATGGCTAAAGCATACAATGTGGTAACTACCATTGTAATTAAGTTTTTTGTTGACACTATATAACTACCATTGTAATTAAGCTTCATGCTAAACTAGACTTTTTGGTAGTTTCCAGGTAAGGGGGTCACGGAGAAGAGTCAAGATAGTGGGGCCCGCCGGTGGGTCCCACTGTCTTTGTTTTTCTCTCTTTCTTTTCTTTTCTCTCTCTCTTATCCTTCTCTTCTCTCGGTTCCTTCTCCTGCTCTCTCAATTTCTTCTCTGTTTTCTCACCCGTTCTCTTCTCTGCCTTCGGCTCCTTCACGCGCGCCCGAGAGGAGAGAGGCGCCGGAGATGGCGGCCTGGCGCAGCGCGGCGGTGGGGGAAGGAGAGAGAGGAGAAAGGGGCGGTGCCGGTGGGGAAGAGGAGGCCGGGGCGGTGCGGCGGTGCTCGGCACGACGTCGCTCGGCGCTTGGCGCGGTGGCGCTTGGCTCGGCGGCACAGAGGCCGGCAGTGGAGGATGGGGGAGGAAAAGAGGGCCGGCAGCGACGGAGGCCATCGGGGCGAAGGAGGCTGCGACCCGCGTCAGCGATGTCGACTGCTTTAGTCTCTTAATGCCTAATGGGCTGCTCCTGCTCCTGCTAGCCAGGCCCAGTCGGCTTTCTTCTTCGGAATTTTGTTGGAAATTTGACGGAAATTACCGATAAAAAACGGTTACCGACAAAACGGTCGGAAAAAACCCCATATCATTTCCGCTACCATTTCCGAAAAGCGATTACCGTTTCCATTTCCGATACCGACTGAAACGGTCGGCGCAAACCGGAAACGGTAGCCGGAATTCTCGGAAATTTCCGTACCGTTTTCACCCTTACTGGCAACGCTTTTTTTTTAAAGGCAACAAGACGAAACAGGAGCTGATGGCGACGTCGAAGGCGGAGAGCATCGAGTACTAGAGTATTGGAGGGGTACCAGGAACCCGGTCAAGAAATTTTTTTTAAGCTATATCTCACTTATTTTCATTATGTGTGTATCCCACTCAATACAAATTTAGACACCCGCATCAGGTTAAACTTAATCTAAAGAGAGTAAATTAAGCAAGTGTCACCCTTCTCTATTTTATTTTAGCTCTGCCCCCGTCTGATTGTACGCATTGACGACGTACACTGTCCTGTAGTATCATATGGCATGACAGGACCTACAAGATTATAAATTAAGTAGATAAATTATGCATAATATCACGGTGACGGTGGGAAGACAATCCATAAAAATATTCCTGTAAAAACGATCAGAAAAATGTACATTTTCGAATTTTTACATTTCAGTTTATAATTAATATGTTGCACATTTACTTTCAATACTTTGGAATTCCTTTGTTGCCTAGAACCTCAATCGAACACCTTGCGGGTGAATGTAGTTGTCCTGCAATGGCAAAGAACAAAGGGAAATAAAATGTGGAATGACACTCAATCTGGAAATTGGGGCTAACCTGGTGTGTTTCTTATTGCTTAGAATAACAGGATACAAAAGTTTAGAAGAAAACTTCTTCTATTTATATACAAGTATACTATGCGATCCGGGTTCTCGGGACTCCCGTTCACTTGCTCTATGGCGATTGCAGCTGGATTTTTCACATTTTGGTCCTTTTAAAAAAATTATTTCACAAATAGACCTCTAAAAAAACTTATACCAGAAATGGTCCTTTTTGGGGCGCCAGAGTGGCTGGCGCCGTCATCCAACGGGACGGCGGCTGGCGCCGTCCTCCTGCCACCGTGGCGCACGTGAACCGACGTGGCAGGAGGAGGGCGCCAGCCATGCTGGCGCCGCCGCCTCCATTCCTGTTTCTCTGTGTGGAGTTGCAACGGTGTCATTTTTATTTTATTTTTTCGGATGTTTTTTCACACTCAGGATCACAATACAACCAACCACAAAAAAAATTTAAACTAGAACTACCACTTAGCTAAGTCTGAAAATATCTAGCATACCACTTAGTCTACTTTGTACCTTCACTAAAATTAGACCATAATTCTTTTAGTAAAACCCTTTGATCAGCATGTTAAACATAATGCACTCTACCACTATAACCACATGAAATGACATATATAAGTTAAACAGTACATAGAGATGCAATTTTTTATTTTTATTTCATTTTTTTGATATTTTTTTCACACTTAGGAGAACATAGGAACCAACTGTATAAAAAATAAACTCAAACGGACAAAATATGTTACATATAGAATTTTCCAAAACTCTACCGAAACGGACAAAATATGTCATCTATTAAAATAGGCGTAACTTTCTCATACGGACTCGGAATCAGACAAATAATATATGCATGGACATCTACAGAAAAAGTTACATCCGATTCTCCCAAGCTTCGCCAGGTTCGGCGATATTAAAACCTCCAAATTCCGCTTGTAAGATTGTGTTTTCGAGGAGAGAAGTTTTTCGGTAGAGCTTTGGAAAATTGCACATGCCACATATTTCGTCCGTTTGAGTTTATTTTTTACATGATTGGTTCATGTGAGTTCCTAAGTGTGAAAAAAATATCAAAAAAATAAAATAAAAATAAAAAAGTTGCACATCTCTTTCCTCTGCACTAGTTCAGAGAGAGAGGAGAGGAGAGGAAAAATTCTACATGTCACATATTACGTCCATTTGAGTTCAATTTTTTTTATGTTTGGTTCTTGTGTGTCTCTAAGCGTGAAAAAAATATCAAACAAATAAAACAAAAATAAAAAATTTAGGGGGGTGGGCGTCAGCCACTCTGGCGCACTCCCCCTAGCCACCTCAGCATCGCCCCGCAACGTCGGCAGGGGGGCGCCCCAAAAAGGACCATTTTTAGGATAAGTTTTTCTAGGGATCTATTTACGAAATAAGTTTTTCAAAAGGACCAAAATGCTGATCCTTGCACTGATTATTCTGCAATAATCCGTCCACTACAACACACATGACCTTTTGCGAAGAATTTTTCCTGACATCGAAGCTATTTATAATTATGTCATTCAGTTTTATTTCGCTCTCTATGGGATAGTGTAACTTAGCGACAAAAATAAGGGGTTCATCAATGAGACGAACTACAAATCGTCGTAACCTAGTCTAGTGGCAATATTATTGTGACGAGTGTTATTTTGTCGTAAGAGGCCAACCAACAAACGTCACAAGCTCATGACAACGTTGATTTATCATAAGTTTTTTTTTCTAAATATTTTTTTTAAAAAATAAAAGTATAGAGCAGGTCCCCTTTAGATTTCACACGTGAATACGTGATAGGAAAAAGTCCACTTTGACTCCCTTAATTGTATGCCGAATTTAATTCGTACCTCTCAACCAGAAAACCGGATAGAACGACTCCCCGAACTATTGAACCGGTGCAATTTGACTCCCTCAGCGGTATTGGAGGGCGGTTTTGCTGACGTGGCGCTAACGTGGCGGTGTTGACCCGGTCTTCGTCCCACATGGCGCTTAAGTGGCATTAGAATTAAAAAAAATTATGGGACCCATCTGTCATTCACACAAAAAATATATTGTAGGACCCACTGACATATGGGGCCCAAATGTCATCCTCTCTCTCCAATCCTTCTTCCTCCTCCCTTCCTCTCTCTCTCTCCCCTTTCTCTCCCCCTTCCCCATCTGCGGCCGAGGACGCTGGAGACGAGAGCGGCGGCGGCGGGCGAGCGAGGGCGTAGACGATGAGGAAGGCGAAGAGGAGGTTGGCGGCTACGCCCGCGGAGACGACGAGGAGGCGGTCGGGGACGGGGCAGTTGCAGAGGAGGTCCGGGTCGTCGGGCGCGAAGCCGGAGTCTGGGTCGTCATCGGGGAGGTGGCGGCAAGGAAGTGGCCCGACTCGTGACGAGGACGATGGTGGCGAGGACGGAGGCGGCGGTGGCAACGGACTGGACGCTGGCGAGGAGGTCGGACGGGGCGGCGGAGATGGAGATGGGCCTGGAGGAGGAGGAGGAGGGGTGGAAGGGGAGGTGTTGCCCGCGTCGCTCGCCGCCGTCTCCGCTTCCCCAACATGTCGTCCCCACCGCTGCAGAGGCCGACAGATACGGCCGCGCCCCTCGCCCGCACCGGCCACCGCCACCTCCCCCCAGCCGCTCCCTCGTGCCTTCCTCGTTGCCGCGGCCTCCTCGCCCCACCGCGACCCCGTATCCCCGACATGTCGTCCCCACCGCTGATGCGGCCGGCAGCTACGACCGCGCCCCCCCTTCCCCCCCTCCCGGCGCGCGACATCCCCGCCCGCGCCGGTCGCTGCCGCCTCCCCCCAGTCGCTCCCTCGTGCCTTCCTCGCCGCCGCGGCCTCCTCGCCCCACCGCGTCCCCATGTCCCCGACGCCGGCACCGCCGCCCCCTGTCCTTCACCGGCACTACCATCCGATGGGGAAGAGAAAAAAGGAGAGAAAAGATAGAGAAGGTAGAGAGAGAGGGAGGAGGAAGAAGGGTTGGAGAGAAAGGATGACATGTGGGCCCCCCACATGTCAATGGGTCCCACGATATGAATGACAGATGGGTCCCACAATTTTTTTTTAATTCTAATGCCACTTAAGCGCCACGTGGGACGAAAACCGGGTCAACACCGTCATGTCAGCGCCACGTCAGCAAAACCGTCCTCCAATACCGCTGAGGGAGTCAAATTGTACCGGTTTCAATAGTTCGGGGAGTCGTTCTATCCGGTTTTCTGGTTGAGGGGTACGAATTAGATTCGGTGTACAATTAAGGGAGTCAAACTGGACTTTTTCCATACGTGATATGTTTTCCAACTTTCTCCATTTCTTCTTTTCAGCCCAGCACGCGCAACAATGGGCCTCAGTTCTATTATAGATATTTTCAGGGCCAAATTCACATGGGCCAGGACGAAATTGCGGCCGACCCGCGCGGGGCCCATAGTTGTTAGGCTGGAACAGGAATTCGGCCTATCGAGGCTACGCGCTACATCTTCGGAATAAATCCACGTTGACTCCTTAAATGTGACCCGAACCTAATCCATGATCTTAAACCGCAAAACCGGATATCTCCACCCCCAAACTATTGAAACAGGTGTAATTTGACTCCCTTTATGGTTTTAGAGAGTGGTTTCGCTGACGTGGCGGATTGACCTACACTGTGGAGTTGACGTGCCGCTTAGTTGGCATTTGAATTAAAAACGTATATGTGGGATGGGACTCGTTTGTCATTCACACAAAAAAAAAAAATATGGGGCCCACTAACATATGAGCCCCACCTGTCATCCTCTCTCTTCTTCCTCCCCTCTTCTTCCCTTCTCTCTTTCTCTCCCCTTCGGCTAGCCGCCACCGCACGGGCTGTTGGGGGAGATGCAGATGTAGATAGAGAGGTTGGTGTGGGAGAATAGGGAGCTGGAGGAGAAACTGAGCATGGCGCTCAAGGAGAGCAAGGCCATGGAGGAGATTCTTGACGAGATGGAGGAGAAGCACGACGACGCCTTTGCCAGGATCACTCTCCTCGAGACCCAGGTAAGTAAAGTAGTGTCAACTGTCAAGCATTGAGATGTTCATCAATGGTGGGGAACTGATGAGCTACTTGTTGCGTGGTGCGGCGCCATAGCTGAAGCCTCTCAAGCTGGAGAACATGCGGCTCAACGAGTAAAGGGGCAAGTCCATGTGGGACAAGAAGCCGCCGTCGACGGCACACGGCGGCGAGAGCTTACCGGCGTCCACGCGCCCGTCGAACACGAGGAAGAGGAAGGACCGGGAAGACGAAGCAGAGGAAGTTGCCGCCGCCGCCGCCGCTCAGGAGGAGGAGGGGGCGGTGGCGTCGCGACGGAGGTGACCATGGAGGAGTAGGATTCCGAGACGTCCGTGCAGATGCGGCGGGGCAAGGCGGTGGCGCGGCGGCGGAGCCTGGTCAGCCTGGGCATGGCGGCGGTGGTGGGGGCGGTGGCGTGGGCGGCGGACGCGCCGTGCCTGCCGCTGCTGGTGGGGCTGTTCGCCACGATGGGCGTGTCCATGTGCAGTGTCACGCGCTTCTTCTTCCTCCGCGAGTCCGCCGCCGCGCTCCGGGGCGGCAGGCCGACCTTCTCCTCCTCCAACACCGTCCCGCTGCTCAGCCTCAACTGGTTCCTCCTCGGCATCCTCACCTCCCCCATGCTTCCCGGCGCTGCCCACGCCATTGTTTCCGCCGCTAATCTCAGCTCCCATCGCCGCCGCCGCTTCAGTTCCCACCGGCCGCCGAGCGGCGGCGGCCGGTCGAAGGGGAGAAAAGGGGAGAGAAAGAGGGTAGGAAGGAAGATGGGAGGAAGAAGAAAAAGAGAGAGAGGATGATAGGTGGGCCCACATGTCAGTGGGGCTCACATGTCAGTGGGCCCCACAACTTTTTATGCGTGTGAATGATAAATAGGTTCACATATACGTTTTTAATTCAATTGCTAACTAAATGCCATGTCAACCCATAGAGTAGGTCAACCCTGCCACGTCAGCATCACCACGTCAGCGAAATCGTCCTCCAAAACCAACAAGTTAGTCAAATATATTGTACCGGTTTCAATAGTTTTACGGTTTAGGATCATGGAATAAATTCGGGCCACTTTTAAGGGAGTCAAAGTGAATTTATTCCTACATCTTCCGAAGTGGGCTGCTAGCCCGTTAGTGGCCTGCAACAGAAGGCGTTTCGTGCGGACTCCAGCACAGCCCATGCTAGAAAAATTGGAGAAAAATATACAGCATATCATATTATTTAGGGATTTAGGCGTGTATTAAGAGTCATTTTCCCGACATATACTTATGCATACACAATATTTACCTGCTCATCTAATCATTGATTTTTAGCTAATAACACTAATTAGTTATTTTCATTGTTTATTTCAATTTTAAGGGTGTATTGATATAATGATATGTTATAATCATTTTTCACACATCTACTTAAGCATGCAAAATATTTAGCTGCCCATCTACTTATTGATTTTTAAAGCTAAATAAAATTAATGAACAAGTAAATTGCATAGTCAGTACACCTTTACGAGGTACGTACATTTACCTGTCAGTTGTTTGTTTTGGTGCATAAACGTGTTTGATTTGTATAAACCAAAGCCCATGTCATAACTAATTGCACTAAGTTGTGTATAACTTCTATAGAATATGAAACTAAAATGAAATCAATATGGAGTAATGGAAAAACAAAATAAATGCAATGTGTATATAAAAAGGTTAAAGTAAACTTCACTTTCGACAACATTTTATTACCGGTGTTTAGCTTTGAACCACCATTTAACCAATGTTTTCACTTTGGACTGGGTTAGTATACCTTTGTGACACTTTGGATCATCCTCAACTCTATTATTTGTGTACATCCAATTTGTCATATGTTGAAGAAACAGTCTACAACATAGGGAGTTTATTGATGAATAGGAGCCAGCGTACAGGACTGTCGTTCATATGCTTGAGAAGACAGTCGGGGTGGTTCAAAGTACCACAAAAGTATATATCGGATATCGGTACTCCTACAACAGGGCAGAAAGGACCCCCCCTCCTCCCCCCATTGGAGATTTAGCCAGGGGCCGAACAGAGTTCGAGTTTGTTTACCGCGAAAATGTAAAAATGAACACAAGCGAGTATATAGCTTCAGGCCGCTCGGAAGCGTAACACCCTACTCCCGTGTTTGAGACTATGTGGATGCAAAAGTGTACAATACAAGCTTGTGAAGTGAACTAGGGTTTCTGTTCTACCTAGGGTTTCCTTTTTTCCCCTGAAAATCTCTTTTTCTAGTGGCATGACCCCTCCTTTTATAACCCAAGGGATCTACAGCGTCGTTATGTAGAGCACCCAAAAAATATATAGTCTAATGTTTAATGCGACCATCACATTATTTTGGGTGAGTGGGATCCAAACATGCATAATAGTCACTCAAGCCTCAATGTGCCCTATGATCACAATTAAACACCATTCAATATAATCTATGTAGTGCTAAATAGTAAGCAAAAGAGATATTTCTACTTCCTCCGTCCCAAAATATACCTATTTTTAAGATTGGCACGGGTATTAAGAAAGCATGTGAGAATGATTGGAGGAAGTGTGTGATTGGTTGAAAATAGAAAGTAGGTGAAGAAGAATGGTTGTGATTGGTTGAGAGGAGGTAGGTGAAGAAATAGTTTCATTTTGGAACAAGGCACTATGCTAGAAATAGCTACATTTTTGGGACGGAGGTAGTAAAACTTAGCGTGCCGGTCAACTTCAGTCTGAGACATGCCCGTTAACCATTCGAAGGTGGCAACCAGATGTGTTACACATACTAGGAGACTTGACTTAATTTGCTAAGTTCTAGAATATCTATGTTGTTCAACAATCCACACTCATGTCTAGATATTCTATAAGCATAGAACATACCAAGGCACTTTCATCAAAACAAATGGCATCCATAAACAAGGAGTTATAAAAAATTGATAATTTAGAGTCTAAGTTTAAGAAACATACGGTCGACCGGCCTTATAATTAGTGGTTCACACGGAAGTTTATCTACCAAAGACCCATAAGCAAGCCAACTAGGGGTAGACCACTAATGAACCGTCCTGAAGAGATCAACGGAACGCGCTGCACTCAACTACCTGCAACACAACTAAAATATACCACAAAGAAACAAGTGTCAATACATTAACACGTTTAATGTACTGGCAAGGCAATACAATCCTAAATACATACAAGCTCTAAATACCAAGGAATGGCTATTTATGGTCTCATAATTGCATTAAGCTGAAATAATTTCACAAACATTTTGCAACAGAATTTTAAATAAGCATTTGCAAGACTTAGTATAGTTATCATGGTATAGCATCATATTAGTGACATATTACCATCATATTCATCATCATAATACAAGTAGCATGCTTGCTACCCTCCTCAGCAGCAAGTCAATCATACACAAGTATCATCATCAACATCATTTTAAATATCACTTTCAAAAGCATTTATAAAACACAAAATCTATGCCAATGACCCACACTATGTCGCGCATAAACATGAGCACGGCTAATCGATTAGTTTTTGTTGATGCGAGAAACAGAAGGCCTGGGAGATCTGCTTAACTCCAGTGCATGTCCAAAAAATCTTGCCTTTAGGTTCGTGAGCGTGCCAGTTGATTTGATCCTGCAATCAACGAGAAATAAAGACAAAGAAACCGCAGTTAAATCCATAAATGATAGCCAATCGGCCAGCCGCCGATGACGTATCACTTATCTTTGAGCCGATGTCATATTTAAGTCGATCGGCAATCATGAACAAGTAAGGAAGAACTAAATCTATTCGATCGGCTGTAGATATTAACAGTATATAATCCTTATGTCGATATATACTTAAATCAAGTGATTGGGATAGATCGGTCGCCATGCCGAGATAGTATAAATCACTTAGATCAAAATATATATTAACAATAAGATTATAGATGCTTATAACATAGCCGATCAGATAGACCTAGCATGTATCGGCTAATACTCTGATACTACTCTATATCAAGATATTAAAGCAAGTAAAATATATCAAACAGAAGCCTAACATACTTTGTTGTATTAAGATCTTAACATAAAGGGCAGATCTAGCATATCAATTAAGCACATAAAATATAAAGCTAAATCAGGTAAGATCGGCTGAAATCCCGACACTACCCTAATCGGCAACCAAAAGCAGGCTAGAGATCATTGTTCTAATCACGACTTATAAGGTCAAACTCAACTGATGCAACTATAAGTATGAAGAGAAGAACAATATCTAGACAATCAAGCCATTGGATGTTTCATAGGATGGTAGATACCCTATATAATCTAAGCCAACATTGCTATTTAACCTAATCGACTGCCTTCTAATGGTAGATGTTAGCCGATTGAAGGTTAGATAACAATATTGTCAGAGATTATATAGAATATATGATAACTCGACGAATTACATAAACAAGATTAGAGTATCATAAAGATGGAAGCACTAATCCCGAGAACGCAAGCCGCCATAACAAGTTTTACCTCTAGTTGAAGATCGAAACTGATGCAGCTCAACCTAAAAGCAAGAACTCGTCGAAAGTAAACAAAAGTAAATGGGTGGCGATGCGCCGAGATTGTTATTGAACGTGTGTTATATTGATTACATGGGGCTCGGGGTCTATTTATACCCGAGATTACAAAATATGTCCATGTCGGACACGACTCTTATCTATAACAAACTCTAAGATACCATAAGTCTTTACGGCAGACTTTTTCCCGAACATATCTCTAAGGAAATTACATAAAATATCCTAATTAATAGATACAATTGCCTTTTCAGAACTCAATCTATGCATGGCAATCCATGTGAATTTAGCACTTTAACCTAACCCGATGTCATATATCGAGTCATATTGTCAGAATCGGCTTAATCGGCTAACCTTGTCCGACTCGAACTCTGCCGATTCTGATCTTAGCTGATTCGGACTTTAACTGATTCTTGCTCTGTTTCCAGAACGATCTCCGTCTTGGATTCCGCTTCGGTTTTATCTTCATCTCCGATACTTGAATTACCAAATTTGGTTGTTAACAGTTTTACACTTTACAAAGTTTGTACAACGTTAACTACATAATGTGAGTACTCTAATTTGTCCGGTACCCATTGGTACCACAACACTCTACGTGTTGAATGCGGTCTAGAAGTTACAACGTAACCTTTACATTACTCAAAGCCTAGCTTTGCACTGGAACGACAAGTGTGAATGACCTAGAGCTATTAGGTGGCTGGCCCACGCCTTAAACCTAACGATATGACGTCAAACACATATGTTTCCCCATGAGGGACTATACCATTATATTGGATAAACATAGTTGCCTGGATTACCCTTAGCGGGCAAATAGTTAGCTCCTCTTAATCACCACTAAAACTAATTCATACTACTCCGGCCTACCAAAATATAAGGTTAGACCCTAAATAACTTAATCAACTAAGTCTATCCCATAACTAGCACATGTGGATGTACGGTAAACAATAGTGGGTGACACAAAGTTCGGTTCTTAATCGACTCAGGCGAACACTCCTGCTATCAGTGCACAACTAACACCATTTCTGCATCACTTATCGTCCAAGTCTAAATTCACTATTTGTTCTTAAGGCAATTATTGCGACGAGCAAAACTGAGTTTAAAAATAATTGCAAAGCTCGCAACATGATTTACTTGAAGTATCATTATTCCACATATAGTAGAATACATGAATCAATGTTTAAGGTCGTTTTTACGAGTAGTACAGTACTGTCGGTAGAGACCATGTGAAAGCACTCAAATTACTAATTGTACTGCTGCAGTAAAGCATAAACACTGTTATGGAGTTTGGGCTTGCGCAAATTACAATTACAGTACACTCTTCTGAGAAAACAGAAATTGATTCTACCTGAACAAGGCACATCAGGTTTGTCCAGGGCATACTACCTTAGGGCCCTTTCAATCAAAGAAATTATGAAGGAATTTCATAGGATTTCATAGGATTGAAATCCTATAGAAAATTTTCCTATACGGCCCTTTGATTCAAAGGATTAAAGTTTTCCAAATCCTACAAAATTCTGATGGAATGACTTTTTGCGTATAGGTTTTGGAGGAAACTTAGTAAGAGGTCCAACCTCTTGGTAAAAATCCTTTGAGTCTATCTCTCTTATCCGATTCCTGTGTTTCCCTATGGTCCAATCAAACGATCATTTCTATGTTTTTTCTGTATTTTGTAATCCTCTGTTTTACCCTTACATTCCTATCAGAATATTATGTTTTTCCTATTTCTCCTTTTTTTTCATTCCTATGGTTAAAAAGAGCCCTTAGCTTGTTCGCTTGCTGAAGCTTTGACCCGGAGATATCGATTTCTTAACTGTATGCACATTTTTTTTAAAGAATAGAGAATCAAATATTGAAGGAATTCCTGAAAGGAGATTGGATGTATGACATTGGCTCAAAGAGTCGATGTCAGAATGATAGATCGAGACAATTAATATTAAATTCAAGCAAGGAAACTTTTACCCAAATAGTATCAATTAAGTGGTCAGCCAAAGGAGAAATGTACTAGCTAGCAAAAATAAAAGAACAAAATCTAATTAATTAGTTAAATCCGAAGTGCACGTCAGATTCAGACAAGAAATCTCTTGCGCTTTTTGGCATATCTTTCTTGGCGTCTGATATTAAGTTTTGTGCATCTGGTTTGCACCGTGAACACGTCGGCGCTCAGTTGAAATTTGCAACATGCATGCATATCCAACTGTTTGCTAGCTAGAACAGGAGATGCCACATAAGAGCACGATGTGATGCCACGTAGGTAATAACTGGTCACCATCTTGACTGACTTGAAACAATTTTGGCAGAAAAGGGTGCATCGAGAAAATCTTTGAAAATAATAAAGTGCACGATATTTGACAGTCCTAGTACTTCGTAATAAGGCCCCGTTAGATAATGATGAAGAAAAAGACTAGGGCTATGTTTAGTTCATGCTGAAATTTGGAAATTTGGTTGAAATTGGTACGATGTGATAGAAAAGTTATGTGTGTATAAAAGATTTGATGTAATGGAAAATTGAAAGTTTGGAAAAAAAAACTTTGGAACTAAACAGGGCCTAGGTACGAATACCTAAAACAACAAAGCCAAACCAATGATTAATTAAGTTTTTTTTACGAAATACACCATTTAACAGTTTAAAAAACATACTGGTAAAATTTATATCCTAATAAAAACGAACGGGGCCTAAGACCACAAATCACATTTGTGCACAGTTGATTAGCATCACAAATCAGTTCCATGAGAAGGAGAGAACATATAAATACTATTGTACCTCCACCCTAAAATTTTAGTTGTAATTTTTAGCTATGAATACGGACAAGTGAACTAAAAATTGTTATATTTTATAATTTTGAGACGGGTATAGCACCAGTTATAAACATTTGGCATTTAGACTAAATTTGGTTCTAATTTTGAAACATTTGAAGTTTAAATGTTTGACCGAATCGCGTATAAGTAAATGTGAAACTTACAGCCAAATATCATCTCGAGTTCCTACAATTATGACACGACGAGAGTACAGTAATATTAGTAAATGTTGGCTAAAATTATCCTGTTCATGATCGATAATATTGAACTACCGAAAATCTGACCATTTACCCTTATAAAAACATATTATTGTAAGATTAGACCCGTTAAATGTTTTAAAAAATAAGCCCTGATTTTAGCACCATCCATTCTAGCGCAGAGGTCTAACACGTTATAGCAATCCACACCGCCGCTATCCACAACACCACTTACCCCACCGCGATGGCAAATGAGATTTGAGGTGACACACTGAGTTAACGAGAAGGTTAGCACCATTGCCCTTAGCCCTGACCTCTAATGCCTTAAAGTAGTGGATCCACTACTTAAAGAGTCAGTGGGTGAGAGCATCTATAATGTGCCATAAAATGGATCATAAGGCCACACATGCACACCAACACCAGATATGGTGAGAGTGGTTATAGGGTATGGTGGGCCTAATCTTAAATTAGGAATTTTACATCTAGATGTGTAACCCATCTTCATATATATTCTTGTCTTAAGCATTGTGGCAATGATACCTTATTTTTACATAGGATATGGTGGGATCATACATTTTTCCAGTCCAAAACATTACTGCCATGAAGCAAGACTACATTACTGGAGAACTGATCATTACTCGGATGCCAAAAGATCATATTTGTCTTGGTTCGAATAGAAAGGTTCAACAGCTGTCAGGCCCCCAACGATCTACCACCCGAGACTAAAGATCAATTTTTAAAGCCCGATTGGTGATATCAACCGAGACTAAAAGATGATCTTTAGCCCCAGGAAAAAAATTGATTTTTAAGTCCGGGTTGATGCTAGATGGAGTATCTTTAGTCCCGGGATAAAAAAAAAATCGATCTTTAGTGTGTAGCAGGTGGAATGGTAACGTGCGTGAGGGCTGAGGTGAGAGATCTTGAGTTTAAATCTCACATCCCACACATTTTTTTAACTTGGTATGCATATTTAGTCCCTGTTAGACATCTTTAGTCTCGGATCATGTGTCCCGGTTGCACAACCGGGACTAAAGTTCCTTTCTCCATCAGTGCAGCAACTACACAAAGATTGCTCGACAGATAGTAAGGATCTGTTTAGCACAGCTCCAGCTCCACCTCTCCTAGGTCCAGCCAAACAGTTTCAGCTCCACTTGAAATGGTAGTGGAGCTGGGTGAAGCGTTCTCACAAAATGAACTAGAGAGTTGTAGCTGGGTTTAGGCAGCTCCACAACTCCACTCCAGACTTAGGGCCCGTTTGGTAGAGCTGCAGCTCCTAAATTTAACTCCAGGAGTTAGGTCTGGAGTAGAGTTGTGGAGCTGCCCAAACCCAGCTTCACCTCGCTAATTCATTTGTGAGAGAGCTCCACCCACTCCACTCCCATTTTAGGTGGAGCTGAAACTGTTTGGCTACGCTCTAGCTCCAGGAGAGGTGGAGCTGGAGCTGTGTCAAATAGACCCTTAACTCCTGAAGCTAAATTTAGGAGTTAGAACTTTACCAAATGGGTCCTAATTAAGATCGAGTGGTTATGTACTTGACTTGCTATTCGACATTATTTATAAAATATATGCTATACAATACTTCCTCTGTCTCATAATATAAGGCACTTTAGGTGGATTTAGTATATCCTAGTAGAATAAATCTAGATAAACAATTCATTTATATTAGAACGTATATTATTGGACGAAGAGAATAACATACCAGGCTTCGGAGTGTCAGAACTTAGACGCGCGCTTATCCTCTTGCGTTTTTTGACCGTAGAAAACATTTGACGCGTGTGCTCATGAAAATTGATACAAATGGTCTGCCGTTGTACACGTCGACTCAGCTGAAATTTGATAAACACGTAAGAATTAAATTACTAGTAAAAAATTGCCACGTAGCTTTCAGCTGGTGCATAAGATGGTCCGCGCGGCGGATCCACCTTCCGGGCAAGGTCAGGCGGCCGCCGCCTGGCTTCACCGTTCCTGTCACCTCTATGATCAATAGCTATCGACATCCATAAAAATTAATCGATCATTCAAAAATAATACTCCCTCCTGTTTTTTATATGACACTGGTTAGTTTAAACATTAACTAGTCAGCGTCCTACAAATTAAAAAATAGAGGTAGCATTAGTCCTCTGAGCTTGATGGTGATACCAGCTTCATCACAGAAGACCGTAATTCTAACATTAATAACATTCAAAGCAAATAAACAAACCATATAAGAATTAGACAATACATTAATGGCACACATTTTTTTACACATAGATTTATAGGTATGACTGACTAAAGAACAGGTCCCATGTACTCAACAGCTAAGGATTTTTAGCCGCTAATAGACCAATGAGTACAAAAATTAGATAATATGTGACTAGTAATAGAGTAAAATCTGTCGGGTATCAGTTCATATCGCCCATTACCATCTCTATATGTTACGGTATATCTTCACTGATTTAAAAGGGTATCACTCGGATTAGTACTATATATGTTTTAAATTTTTTTCTCTAATTAATTAGTTCAAGATTAATTAAGTTTATATAAAAATTTAACCACACGCTTATAACACCAAATTAGTTTTAAAGGATCTTGTTTTGTATTGAATACGTCTACTATTTTTTTTTATAAACTTGATTAAATTAAATTTAAGAAGTTAGCTAGGAAAAGTCAATGTATAATAGGGAGTAATTAACAAAGACAAAAGTGAGTCTGACAGTATCGAAAAGGAATAAAGTGCAAGATACATTGATTATCCTAATAGTTACCCTCTGTACTAGCGCACACTCGCCACCATCGATCGACCAGCATCAAAAACCATTGGCACGAGAAGGAGAGAAACACTTGACTTTATTCCCCTCATTTTGACATGGCTAGCGGCGCCGGAGGCGGCACGGCGGCGACGGAGAGGCTCATCCGCAGCGCGCAGAAGTCGACCAACCAGCTCAAGGCGATGCTAGCGGGAGGCGGCGGCGGCGGAGGGAGGAGCTCCGGCGCCGTGGAGGTGATCCTGGCGGACATCTCCGACTCGCTGTCTCAGGCGCTCGCGTCTCTCATGCTCCGCGCGGCGTGCGACGACCAGTCGCTCCCGGCGGCGGCGGCCGCCGCCGCCGCCGGAGGCGAGCTTGTTGCCGTCCTATGGGCAGTGTGTGGTGGCGAACAGCGGCGGCCGGTCAGTCTCGAAGAGGAAAGCTCAACGGAGAAGGTATAAATTAATTATATATCTTGTGGTCTTCATTAAGTTTGATTGCTGTGTCTGCAAATTCTGTTTATGTCTCTTCCGATTTGACATTTCAGATGTCGAGGGAGGATACTGAAAAGGTCTTTTTTTTTTCCTCTAGATTTTCTCCGGAAAAGGAAATGGTTGTGTATTTGGATTTGGAGAGGGTTAGAGCATCTCTAGCAGTAGCCCCTACTTTCGAGTCCCTAAAAGTTAAATGGGGGCTGCCCTCAATGTTCTAGACCCTAAATATGTCTTTATGTCTAGTAGTAGCCTCCATATCTTAGCCCCTATTTTTTTTCTCTTTTATTTTATTATAGAATTTATATTTATATCTAGTTTAACACATAGTAATTTAAACATAAATAATTCTAGCGCATGGAGTTCAACCATATTCAAATTTGCAATTTCAAACACCACGATTCAAAATTGAATTCAAAATTTTCAAACATGGAAATGATATATCCTAGAAGTAAATAATGAACATAACCCACACATGATAGAAAATGCAATGAAACAAACTACCGAGCACCATGAAGCGCCCACAAATGTTCCACAAGATCATCTCGAAGTTGCTTATGTACCCGTCGGTCTTCAATTTCTTTATGTATCTTTAGAAATTTTTCTAACACAGGTTTATTACGTCGTTGGTATTCCTCCTTCCTCAACACCTCACTGTCCTCCTGATCATAGTCAAAATCTACATCTTCATCTCGCTCATTGTCAATGATCATGTTGTGCATGATTACACAAGCTGTCATTATGTACCATAGGGTCTCTGTATCTCAAAATCTAGCAGGACCCCTCACCATTGCAAAGCGGGCTTGTAGAACACCAAATGCTCTTTCAACATCCTTTCTCACTCCTTCTTGAACTTTTGCATAATGTATTCTCTTGTTACCTTGTGGATTAGAAATGGTCTTCACAAAAGTGGCCCAAGAAGGGTATATGCCAACAGCAAGATAGTAACCCATGGTGTATTTATTTCCATTCACCATAAACTCCAACTCTGGAGCTGTCCCTAATGTAAGCCTTTGAAAGAGTGGTGATCTCTGTAGTACAATGATATCATTAAGAGAACCTGGTAGTCCAAAGAAGGAATGCCAAATCCACAAATCTTTAGATGCAACAGCTTCAAGAATCATGGTTGGCCCATCCACATGCCCTGAGTATTGTCCTTTCCAGCCTGTTGGTCAATTCTTCCACCTCCAATGCATACAGTCAATACAACCTAGCATCCCTGGGAACCCCCTTGGAGTGTTTATAGCCATCAACCTTGTAGTGTCCTCAGCAGTTGGTGCTCTCAAGTATTGATCAGCAAACACATCCACCACAGCCTTGACAAAGTGCTTGAAAGCTTCTATCATGGTGCTCTCTGAAATCCTCACGACTTCATCAAGACTATCGGCTGGAATATCATATGCAAGCATGCGAATTGCACCATACACCTTCTGCAATGCAGTGGCACCGAGAAGACCCACTGCATTTGGTCTCTGCCTGAAGTAGTCATCATGAGCCTCCACACTAGCCACGATGCGCAAGAAGAGCTCCCTTGACATTCTGAACCTCCTCCTAAATAATTTTGCACTATATACAGGAGGATCTGCAAAATAATCAGCCACTATGCGTAAATTGCCAGCAAACCTGTCCCTATTAATTATCTCACGACCTGGGACTGAACCACGATGCTTTCTTTTGGTCCTCTTATGCTCTATGTCTGTAAGAAGAGCAGCTGCAATGTAGTAGTCATCATCGTCAGACAACTCCTCCTGATCCCACCAATCGGTAATGAGATCATCGTCGTCGTAGAAGTCCATGTAAAAAACACTGCCATCACAAGATCATAAAATTAATAAGAAAATTTAGAGCATATGCACACATCCAACTACACATACACGGTACAGAGTATACCCCATATACAGTATGCAACATTCAATCTATGAAAAGCAGTGGAATCGTACTAGTACAGTACCACTTACTCCTGTATATATATATATGGTTCTAATCGATCCATTGCAACAATTGTACAGTGCTACTAAGTATAAATACAGTGATATATTCACCGTGTTTAGATCCAGTTTTTCTTCAAACTTCCAACTTTTCTATCACATCAAAACTTTCTTACACATATAAACTTCTAACTTTTTCATCACATCGTTTCAATTTCAACTAAACTTCTAATTTTAGTGTGAACTAAACACAACCATTACTAGCTGAGAATTTAGATTTTTCTTGCCGACAAAGTCCACTACAATTCTCCAAAAAAAATATTAAAAACAAGTCAGTCTCCACCAGAACCATCTACCACCACATGTCCACAGGTGTCAAGAACAGAGTTATTCAGAAAATTGATTAGTACTCTACCACTGAACCCCCGCACCACATGACCTACTTAGAGTTTCTCCAGAAAAATCAATGGGGGCAGGAGGCCAGCGTGGGGGCAGACGGCGTGCAGGTGGACGACGTGTGTGCGGGCAGCCTCGGAGGGCACGCGACGGCCGGCGTGTGGCCAGGCAGATGGCGGGAGATCGGCGGCCGGGCATGCGCATGGACTGCCGCCGAAGGCCTTGAGAACGGTGGGCAAGAAAGGTATGGAAAAGTCTTACCTTTCTAGGGCAGTCTTGATGGAGGTGCTGGGAATTCGTCAGTACTCGCCGGAGAAGATCTGTCATCGCAGCCGTGCGGGAATAACAAGAAAATGCGCGAAGCAAAATTATATCCGCGCCAAAAAAAATGACGATGGGGGCGTGCTCCGGAGTCCCCCAGGACTGGGGCCTTGGGGGGAGGATTTGAGGGCCTCCTCACTTTGGGGGCTGTAGTAGGGTCCCTGCTGGATCTAGTTTTTTTATCTTAACACTCAAAAATTGAATAGGGGCTGGATTTGAGGTCCCTGCTGGAGATGCTCTTAGGATTCTGTTGCCCCCAAAATCTAAATTGTTCAAGATTCAATTAACATATTAGAAATGAACCAGAAAAAAGCCCCGATAATCATCGCCTGGCAGTGCTGTCAGTTGTCACGAATCATTAATTTGTTGTATTCAGCAGTGATGTCATGAAAAATTGTCACAATTACAAATAAATGAATACTGAATTTGAGCTTGTGATTTTGAATGCAGCAGGGCAGATGGTTCATCCCGAAGAATTATACTAGAGCTTGGAGATCGTGACGATTCCTATCCCTGGAGGAAGTACGGGCAGAAGGACATTCTTGGCGCCAGGTTTGCAAGGTATAACACGACAAGTCTAGATTGACGGTTTCAGTAAACCTTTGAAGAACGTTTGGTTTGGGTTGTGAACTTGTGATGACTTGTGAGAAACCTTGCAATCTCCGGCTGCAATTTTTTTCATAAAACGCAACGCAACTTTTTTCGTTGAGGATCAATAGGAATCTGTGTTTTTTTTTGGGTCAAAAGCAACAAAATAAAGAATAATCATAATAAATTGAGCTTGAAAGTGATCTGAAGCTGTCTGTGCTTACAGGAGCTACTACAGATGCGCCCAGATGTTGGGCTGCACGGCGAGGAAGCAGGTGCAGCAATCCGACGACGACCCGTCCCGGCTGGAGATCACCTACATCGGCCTGCACACCTGCGGCGGCGACCGGCCGTCGTCGCCGGCTCCCACCAACCCCGCCGACGGCCCGCGTTGCGACGCAGCAACCAGTAGTCACCGTCTTCTGCCGTCAGCTCTGCAGCAGAAGCTGGAGGAACATGTCCCGGCGGCGTCGGACGACATGATGATGGCCTGCACGCCGTCGTGGCTGTTCATACCCTCGCCGGCGTGCTCGCAGTCGGAGCTTCTGTCGGAGGGGGAGGTTCCGGAGCTGCGGGTGGTGCGGCAGGAGCCGTATGATCCGGTGGAGCTGGTGGAGGAGCACAAGAAGCCGAGCGACGCCGACGAGGACTCCCTCGCCCTCCACAACTCCGTCGTGCCGGATTTTATGTAGCAAATCGCAGGAGAAAGTTCTTTTGGTCGGATCGCGATACTATGAGGTAAAGTCAGAGAGACCCACACGGGGGTCTAATCTTTGTGGGTCCCACATGTCAGTAAGTGACAATGTCCCTCTGACTTTACGTCATAGGAGACTCATCCCTTTTGGTCCGCTGCCGAGTGACTAGTCAGCGTGTGTTTCATCGTATAGTCAGCTCTGAGTAATGTGTCCAACTGGACAAAACCTACTGAAAATCTGTTGAGGTGCATTGTAAAATGCCTAAGATAGCATGTATATATCCTTCAAATGGAGTGAGTACACATATAGTGCCCCTTTTTCACACTATAGTCTATAGGCATCTTGTTGTCATTGAACACTTGATACACCATTGAAAAAATAATCAAAGATCAACCAAAGCACTTACGCTGGATCGAAGACTAGGTAATAGGTTCCACCGTAAGGAACATAAGCGATGTCAGCAAAACACACTCATGCTTACGATCAAAATGCACTCATGCGCGCTCACGCTGTCTGTGGATGCAAAACTGAAGAACTCTTAACTCTGTCCAACTGTTACAATAACTGAAGAACAGAGGAAACAGAGTATGAGCAGAGTTTGGCGCTGCATAAATTAACTAGCAGGTTGACTGATTTCAGATCGTATCTTCCAGTCAGCTGCTACATGCATACGAAATCCAAAGAAGAATGCGACTAGCAAAGCAAAATGCAAAGTTACGAATCCAATGGAACACTTTTGGCACTGAAGATTATCAGCTCATAATCTGACAACAATTGAGTTATTCGCTGCATACATATATAGTTGGTACTCCGTATGGCTGTACTAAAGTGCCTTATGATGGCCAATTAATAAATTGAAGATCCATGCTGTTGACCAGATTTTTTTTGAGTCAGCTAAATGAGGGGATGTTCCGTTGAGAGTTTTATAAATTTCAAAATCCATGCTGTATGATCCGAGAAAGAGAGCCAAGCCAATCATGCAAACTTGCAATACCTAAAAGAACAATGTACATATGTCCAGGGGAACGAAAAACTTGTGGCAAAAGATCGCAAATTGGACAAACTGAATGAAGACCATTTTATTTTCCTACAGAAGAAAAAGAAAACAGAACTAAATCGATCCTGCTCAGGTCAGGGGTGAGCAACCAAAGTGGCTATCAATCTGATTAACAGCAACAACAGCATATTACATAAATCTCTTATTCAGTTATTCTAACAAGAACATATAAGAGAGAACCATGCATGACAGAACGCACTCCCCGTACTAAAAGCATTAAACTTTTAGCCATTTTTAACTACGAACTTTCCACGTTGGTTCATGATCAGAAAATTATTTTCTTAGTTTAAGAAGTAGGGTGTACTTTGTTTGCTAGAAGAGGAATTAATTCTTTGTGACAATATATTTACAGTTTAAACACCTTGTTTTGCAGGTAAATACAGTGAACAAGAAGTAGAATCAAATATTGATCAAAAGTTGTTCCTGCAACGAGACGTGGTTAGATTATCAAATTAATGTTGGCTAATTCTCAACAAGACAAGAATAGATTAAACTGACGCAGGCACATGTTCTGATCTGTGAAACAAACCGACCACATAGTAGGAATGAAGACTTGACTTGTACTAAAATAATGCTAAATATTTGACACCGAGCTGTCACCATGATGCTCATGATGGATAAGATAGGCCATATACTACATAAGCTGTGATTAATTAGTGAGATGCTAACTGGTCACCTGTCACCGTCTTGACCCGACTTCAAGAAGTTGTTAATTCAACAAAGTGAATTCGATTTGGCAGTCTTGAAAAGGAATAAAGTGCGTATATGATATGCATTTGAAGATGAGCCTATGACGGAGCTCACAATTTAGATTAGTAGTTCTCGTATCCTCACATTAGTTTCTTTACATTACCTAAAATTCTTGTTCCGACCTGTCACTCTCAGAGGAGGGTCCTCTTAGGATCTTTTTTAACCTTGTTTGTAAAAACTTTGGTCCCTCTCTCTTCTCCTTATATGAAATAGGCAGAGCTTCTGCTTTTACCCTAAAAAAATGATATGCATTTGAAGTATCTCTTTCGTAGATATTTGAGTATCCTAGTCCTTTACCCTTGAAAGCACACACTTGCATGATTAGTCAGTGAGACTTAGTATCACAAATCAGCAGCACAAGAGGAAGAGAGAACACATAAATTTCTCATTGTGAGATGGCTGGCGGCGGCCGGGGCGGCGGCGCGGCGGCGACGGTAAAGCACATCCTCAAGGCGCAGAAGTCGACCAACCAGCTCAAGATGATGGTGGCCAACCTGCTGCCGCCGGCGCCGGCACCGGTGATGGTGAAAGGCGGCGGAGCGGGGAGCTCTGCAGGCGTCATGGAGGTGGAGGTGGAGGTGATCCTGTCGGACATCGCCGACTCGCTGCCGCTAGAGGCACCTGGACCGCTACTTATATAGGGGAAGGGGTCCGTATTACAAAATACTGTCCATATCCCTAACAGAATATATAGTTACAGATAAAATACAATCGTAACTGACTAGGATCTCAAATATTTCCTTGATACACAAGTTTAGAATTTAACCCGAGTCTTCCTAAAGATATTCTATCTATACATGGCACCCCATACCCAGTCGGACTATACATGCCGTGTAGATATGGGGTATCCATAATCTCCACAGTAGCCCCTGAGACCTTTGCAGTCGACGAAATAACCTTTTCTCTTAGCGTAAAATGATAATCCGAGTGCTTCAATTTCTTCTGCATCGATCTCCCGAGTACCAAAATCAAAGACTGCGAAGGGCTGAAAAATATAAATAACCAGGTGCATCGGCTAGATGCACCTAATTAGGTGTAGCCCCCGAATATGTGATTAGTTAAAAACTAAACATATAGTTAAGGAACAAATATCATCCAATCCGAGTAGTTATGTAGCTCAGCAGATATGACGTTCAGCAAAACATCCAACCGACTGCTTTAGCTTTAATATACCAAGAAAGAAGATATAAAGAAACCTGAGTGAAAAACACTTCAAAAGGTCTACAAATGACCATATTTGATAAGAATCCGAGTAAAAACTCTTAAGATGATCCACCAAATATGATAGAAATCATGGCAATTAATGAGTCTAAATAGCCTAGGCTATGACCCACGCCATAATAAAAAATAAGCATATAACATGCCGAGAGAATGACCATTAAAAAACCAGTCATCTCAACCAAACCCAAACAGCTTTTGCAGCTTAAAAAAGCTTACAAAAGTAGTATAATACCTTTCTGTAGGGTACCTTTTTATTTGCATCGTAGTAATTCCAAGGAATTATCTAACTACATCAAAAAGGAATTTAACAGCATCGGGCCATATTGTGGTGAGCAAAAATTGCCGAAACAAAAAATGCCTAAGTCCCTACGGATCACCACTTAGCCACGCCGATTAGCAAAATTGGGCTGAAGTACTATTTTAGGCCCAGGCCCATTAGTACTTCCGATACCCTAATAACACCAAAGAGAAACAGAATGTCTCTTCGTCTTCCTCACCGAGACTCTCGCCACTTTCCCCATTTCCCGCTACAGTGCAAAGGCTGCTCCGGCGAAACTAGGGTTAACCGATTCGCTCAAATCCACCTTCCAAAATTCCACAGAAATCATCCGTGCACCCACCGCATCAATCTCCCCTTCATTCTCAACCGCATTTCAGACCAAATCTCGCCATCTAGTTCGCATCCATGGCGGAAGAAAGAGAAAGCTTTGAGAACCAGTGGGCGCCTTCCGATGTAACGGAGGAGAATCTGAAGGAGATGGTGGCGCATGGCGTTCTTCCGGCGAAGGAGATCATCGGATGGCGTCCAGCATTTGGGGAAGCATTTCCAACCTCCGATACACACGAGACGGTGGTATTTTCTCTCTTCTTTTATGGTGGATTTTCCCTTCCAACTTCAAGTTTCTTCCGGGGCATCTTGGATTTTTACGGCATCAGCTTACATCACCTAAATCCCAATTCCATAGTCCACATCGCCAACTTCATTCATGCATTTTGCGCTTTTTCACCGCATGTTCTTCCTCAAGCCCCAGCCGAATAAGAGCAAACCATGCGTAGTTGGTGGAGCCGGATTTCAGTTGAGGGGAACTTTGGGACAAAAATACTTCTCTATGCTCTTCAAGACTTCAAACAAAGGATGGCATGCCAACTGGTTTTATGTACAAAACCTCGAGCCAGCTCTTCCCGAGTACTCCTGTCTCCCTCCAGTATATCAAGACACTTGGAATTCACTCCCAATGGGAGACGAGGCCGCCCAGGTGCTTACTCTAATGGACTGCATGCTGAAACTGAAAGAGCAAGGTCTGCAAGGAGAGCAAATCACTCGGCACTTCATCAAGACCCGGTTAGCCCCAATCAAGGAGAGATCCCGCACTGCATGATCCCAACCGAGAGGACCCAGAGGCTCTTGAATACAAGATTATGCAGGAGAGAATGTATAAAATCTTCTCTAATGCCATTGTAGTCAGTTACTCTCATGCACTACCAGTGGTGCCGTACAACGCTTTCAACCCTCCTTCTCCGGTATGTATCACTCGTCTCAGCCTTTACAAGTTACATCCTTTGGTCTTCTTTAAAAGTAATTGAAAATGTGAATCATCATGCACAGGAATTCACCTTGATAAAGTCTGATCCTCCAACTGTTCAACGACGCTCATCACGCCAACCGACTGGTCAAGCTAGTGGGGGGCCAAAAAATCGGTCGGTTGTACAACCCGGCCCCTCAAGATGAACCACTCAGTCAGACTCTCGGAAGAGGAAATCAGTGCTGACCGACGATGAGGGTCATGACGCCAAAAAATCCGGCAGCAAAAAGGAAGGAGCTGAGAGACAGCCAAAGCTGGCTAACTGTAGCGCCCGTTCCGTCGTGGCGCCTAGCGGGAAAACTATCTCTTAAAAACCCTATTTGCGAATTCCGTTTCTTTGCTTGTTGTCTAGTGTCCGTGCCATCTCAGACCTCAAATCCCCGATCTATCGTCGAGTTCAATCCCGAATCCAAATCCTTCCCAAATCAAATCCCTCCACAAAAGTCTTTTTCGCCTCCCTCGGGTTCGATGGGCCGAATCCCTCTCGGCCCATCTTCCCCTCCCTCCCTGGCTCTCTCTCTCTCTCTCTCTCTCCCTCTCCCCCGCTCTGCCCGTGCGCTGCGCACGCGTGCGCGTGAGCCGCGCCGAGCCGAGCGCCCTCCGCTCTCGCTGCCGTTTCTCGCCGACGCCGCCCAAATCGCCACGCCGCCCGTTGCTTCCCGCGCGGGCACGCCATGG